ACAGCAGGGGCAGCCCAGACCGCAGCCTGACAACCAGCAGGAGGGGCAGCCCAGACCGCAGCCTGACAAATACCCAAACATACAGCACACAATCGCACCATCCCACCCACACAATCGCACCATCCCACCCTCATCCTCACCCCCACTCAGTCAAAGACATACAAGGACGCCACATTCCACTCATACCCCCGATACACACTCTATACCCCCCAGGTCCAGGACATGTACCCACCCCCTAATGGAGGCACCACACACCCGAACCCAGGAGGAAGACCCAATCATTCTGAGGTGGAGAGGAGCAGATAGCCAAGGCCCAGCCCGGGCCGCACCAGGACGCCCGGCCAGCCCCCCGCCGCAGAGAAGTCACACCCATGACCACCCCACCACACCGCCAGCGACCAAGTGCACCCCTCCAGCTGTCCACCCCCCGGAACCCAGCAGCCACCCCGGCCAGCCACTGGAATGGTTTTAAATGAAACTTGCAGAAAATAATCACTGCTTGTCCCTCTTTAACTGAATAACTTTAGTCAGCCCAGTTTCATCACCACAATTAGTCAGCACAAATATGGTTATAACTCAATAAATCTGACATAGGCTGAAATGTGTGGTAGTAGCTGAGAGTTTTCCCCTAATATTCAGAGGTTTACATGGGGTAATATTTTTGCTCAGAACTTTAGCATTAACTGTTGGAGGGTATGCATTTCTTCATGACCTTTACTTTTGGTAAACGGTTCGTCTTTAAAACTTTATAGTTGCAGTTTAAATGTGTTCAGTTCTGTAGTTCATAATGAGCTAATAGTTGGTTTGAATGGCGTTAATGTTGTGCTAAAATATCTTTAAACGTGTGTCCTCCCGTTCGTTTGTTTATTGCCTGTTGTTAATGAGCTCGCGGGGATAATTGTGCGCGCAGCTGTATGACGTCACACACACCGCGCGCCGTTCCTCGAGCTCGCCTTCTCCTCAGAGTGGAGTGGACGGCAGTCCCGACGTGTGCGCACCTGCTGCTCGGACAGCGTTTGATGTTTTTCAGCACTTTTGACTGGATATGAATCATTTTCGCATCGAGCCTGTTCGAACATGAAAGTTGAGTTCTTCTCTTCGATTTTATTTTTTTTTTTTAAGTTTTTTTTTTTGAACTAACAGTTTGTGTCGGCTGTAAACACACACCCGCGCGCGAGCAGACGGAGCAGACGGAGTAAGAGTGGAGAGAAGTGAAACCTCGGCGCTGATTTCTTGCTGTTTGGTCTCTGCTGTGGTTCTGATTGAAGCTGGAGGTGGAGGTCTGCTCTCTGTTTGGATCTTACAGGATGAATCGTCACCTCAGCCCATTTTGTGCGCAGCCAGAAGAAAAGCGGACCCGTCCCGCAACTTCTTTTATTTCATTTTAACCTCAGAAAGACCACCTCTAAGGGCGCGATGATTTTAACCTTTGTCTTTATTTTGTCAATGTTGGGTAAGTGTTTCAGCATAACGTCTGTAACAGAACCAGCTGATTTCAGGTTGTCTCCGTGCGCTCTTGGCTGTGCGTAAAAATCCATCTCATCCAAGTTGTCGTTACGCGCAGATTCGGCGCTCACCTCGAAGGCTGACGGCGGCTCGGCGGCGCGTCCCGCCCGGCTGGACTGCGTGAGGGCCAGCGAGCACTGCCTCAAGGAGTACKCCTGCAGCACCAAGTACAGGACCATGAGGCAGTGCGTGGCGGGCAGGGAGAGCAACTTCACGGCGGTGGCGGGTCCCGAGGCGCAGGGCGAGTGCCGCAGCGCCATGGACGCCGTGAAGCAGAGCTCCCTGTACAACTGCAGGTGCAGGAGAGGCATGAAGAAGGAGAAGAACTGYCTGCGGATCTTCTGGAGCATATTTCAGAGTTTGCAAGGTATGAGGTCAGGTGGAGGCATGGAGCATGTTGGACTTTGGAAAGGATTTCATAACTCAGCCTGGAAACTAAAACACCATATTAAAAGTAAAATAATATTTCATAYAAGCAACAAAACTGGGACAACGTTACGCATCATACGGTCATATAAGTGACCCTTTTCTTTGAATCAACATATCTGTCCGATTTCAAGCCAGAGCATGTTTTCAGAGTGAATGCATGCGCTATTATCTAATTCATAATAGTTACTTGCTTATAATGCCTCTGCTTTAAGCCCATAATGCAACATATTCATTAGAGAGGCACACATCATGATGCAGCCTGTTCTTAAATTCCTTTCTCATTCACAAAACCAGCAGAAAACATCAGGCTGATGCATGTATCTGCTAAAAAGATCTCAAAGTGAACTTGTAGTTTTGTTACTTATTATTATTATTATTATTATTATTATTATTATTATTATTATTATTATTATTATTATTATTATTATTATTATATGCCAATAACATTCACAGGGTAAACACTTACATCAATGATTATTGAAAAGGAAATATCTACTGGATTTGAAACCTGTTTGCYTTCATAATGTTTTTGCAGATAGAACCTATATGTTCTTGTTTTTAATCGGGAGTTTGATATAAGACATTCCATTGTTTCTTATTGTCTAATCAAACTTTCACTGTGAACCTAACCAACTTCAACCCCTAAGCATAAAATCAAGTCCAACTCGTAAATCACTTTATACCCATGTCCTCAGAATTTGGTGTTGTTTTTTTTTGCAGAACCCTGTGAAGTCAGAAAAACAAGTGCACACACACAGTTTTAGGCACACATTGCTGACAATCTGTTCTGCCCCGCAGGTAATGATTTACTGGAATACTCCCCGTATGAGCCCGTCAATAGYCGGCTCTCAGACATCTTCCGCTTGGCTCCCATCATAGCGGGTAAGATGAGTTTTTCATGTTTCCAACGGCTTCAATTTGGGCGGCGTTAAGTCGCTGTACGTATCACTGACATGTCTCGGTTGCGCCCAGCTTAAGTCACCGCAACAAATCGGTCACTATATTTGACAACCGCTCTTCTCCATCGCCGTCTGGTTTCAGGCTGCAGCTTCCAGTGGCCCATTATCCATCGCAAAAGCTTTTATCTGCCACTGTGACCCCGCGGTACACAAAGCAGAATAATTTAGTATATTTCACGTTGTGCCCCTTCAACGCACTGATGAGAGGTCTGCATGTTTTTTTCCACTGTCGCGGTGCTAATATGAACAGCTTTTATGTGCTAGTTTTGAATTAATCATCCTTTTAGAGCAGAACCTCTTTTGTTGGAGCTCCGGGAGCCTGTTGAGGCTGAATGCCTAGATTTAAAAAAAAAATGGGAAAAAGAAAAGTTTGCCTTTTGTAAATTTAAATGTCACACATGTCCACGAACGTCAGAGGTGGACCTGGGAGCGTACACTTAGACAGGCCTATATTTAGTTTCACAGAGGAGCAATTAACCATCTGTCTGCATTCAATGGCACAGCAGAAGTAGAGCTCTGTGACACAGAACTCACTGGCTCACCACTGTGTTGGGCTTTCTGGCTGGAGGAGAGCATCTGCTGAACTGGCCAGCTACCATTCCAGTAAAAAAAAAAAAAAAAAGAAAGTTATTTGTTTCTCTTTCTCCTACCCTGTCTGCCTGTTTCTGGCTCTCGCTGTGATTGAATCCACTTATCACAATGGCTTTGCTCCATCTGCAACAACATAATGCTTTATCATTATCTTAAATAAAGAGTAAAGAAAACATCAGCAGGCAAAATTCTCTCTTGTGCTGGAACAGAAAATGTAAAAACCACTTATATTCTGCTCATTTATCACTATATATTATGCTTATTTGAACTTAAATGAGTTAACAAACACCCTTAAAATTAAAACAATTCAACTGAAGAAATGAGAAAAGGTAAAATCCTGTTTAGGAATCTGATTCCTCACTAATGTGCTCTTCTATCAAAGTCGCTGACTTAGAATATGGAAACTTGGCAGGATAACTTATCAGTATTAGATGCTATTATCATAAGAAATCACTTCAATTACTTTGATTAGGTGGGCAAGACAAATAGAGATATGAGGCTAAAGCTGAGTAATCATTTCTTAACATAAAGAAGTGTGTAAACAGCCTGAAAGACCTTTAAGGGGGGAAAAAAACAAATCATCTAATGGGTTGGGTATCACAAATCCATTTACCATAAGTGACCTCATTCCTGTCTGAAACTAAGCCAAGCCTGGGGAAATCTGCAGTGTAAAATAATGCATGTGTGAGTCAAGATAAAAACTCCTTTTACCCTCTTGGGTCAATATAAAAAAGGATGTGCTGCTGCTTTTTGTCTTTTATTAAGACACAGCTCAATTTTAATACAGTAGTCGCCACAATTCAATCAACCTTTATCCATATGGGAATGCTCGATTAGACAAAATGACTGGAACATTGCTGATTTTGGGGGGTATTTGGAGGCATTAATGTTTAGTTACTCCATGTATTCAATCAGGAGAATAATAGCTTAGCTAATGCTACCGCTGCCATTTGATGGTAAACAACACTGTCCCAAACTGTGACACAAGTACCATAGATTCTCAGAATACAATTTTTGCATATACTATGTGGATTTTTGCGATAATTACTTTTTGGTGAGTCGAAAGCCTAAACCTCTTCCAGTTACACCCCACWCAACAGGACCTGTCCAGCCTATTCCTAAAGCCCCCCTGAATTCCAGCCAAACAACTTCTAAGTCACTCCCCCACCCTCCCTTTGTCCATTCCAACTCTTCTGATAGGCATTGGGTTAATTAACCATAGTAAGCTCATCYGTGGAAAGCTAAAAAGCAGACTTTGCCAAAAAGTAGTTTAGGAGTGAATCAGGCAAATTACAATCTTGGCTCCAAATGGAAACTCAAAACAAAAGTTCCATAGGGAGTGTTTTGTGAACACCTGTGGAAACTAACGGACAATTGTAAACCAGTGTGCTAGTGGCTACTTAAACTATGCCAAAAGGCACAAAACAGTGAAGATATTCAATCCCAAAATTAGATTCAGTTGTTGTTGGGCAGAGAAAGAGCTGAGAATACAAAGTATATGATAAATGAATGCATGGAGTGGTAAATAGACAGCCTTTGTATAGCACCTTTTTCAGTTTGTTAGGTCACATTCATGCACCAGTGGCATATCAGGCAGTAAGGGGTTCATTGTCTTTGACATAAGACTGTATAMTACCAGGAATCAAACCTCTGACTCCCTTRGAGGACAACTGCTCTAACCACTGATCCACAGCAGTATCAGCATGAAACCATCAGATCTTAACTTGCACCATTCAAACTAACATCAAGGAATGCAAGTTTTGCCAGTTTGCTTGTTTRTGCCAGAAATATACATAAATCTAACATGTTGTYCTTTATTTAATGTCAGTATGGTTGTTCCTGGACAGCCTGATATTTTTGGAGGTGGTACTTGGTATAAAGTTTTTAGAACCACTGCTATAGATCAGTGGTTCCCAAACTTTTTATCTTCTGACCCACAAAATAAACACGGCAAAAACTTGTGACCCCAAATATTACTGGTCTGAGTACACGAACTTCATTAACAAGCCCAAAAACACAGGTTTTTGACAATCTAAACAGCTTGTACACAAATATAAATACTTATTTATACTTATTTGGTGTTTTGGTAATAGTTATAGGGAAAATATTACATCAACAATTATTTTATTACCCTTTAAATTGATTTCTGGAGATTATCCAAGGTGCTTCATGACCCATAATTGGGTCCCAAGCCCAACTTTGGGAACCAAAGTGCAGNGTGCTTCATGACCCATAATTGGGTCCCAAGCCCAACTTTGGGAACCAAAGTGCAGTGGTTCCCAAACTTTTCAGCTTTTGACCCACAAAATAACAGTAACAGAGACCTGAGCCCCCGACTATTTCTGGATGATAAACATTTGTATCAGGTCAACAAAACATGGGCATAGTAACAATATATTTTATACGACATTTATCCATTTTAAATACACTAACCTCACTCCTTTGTAACAACTAAGGCAAAAAATGTAATTAATTCCRAAAATCTTTTCAGGACCCCACCTTGATGTTTCGGGACCCCACTTTGGGTCCCGACCCCAACTTTGGGAAACACTGCAGATTGTAAATAAAGATGTTACAATTGAACCAAACTCCAGTTTAGAGTAAAGCGTGTTCTTATAATACTGATCTTGTTGGTGTCGTAAATTTTAGTATACTGTGATACAAAATGTGGTGTTAGAGAAGTACATTTTGAAATTTGATTGGACAATATAATAAAAAAAAGTGGTGAAAGTTTACAGATGTAATCATCGATTTTAACAGTTAAATAGATTTAGACCATTGAAGGTAATGACACCGCAATGACTTGAAGAAACGTTTTGCTTTTTGAGTTGGAGTGTATTGGATTCAGATATTTATTGGATCTGCAGCTTATCAGTCTTTGGTAGTAAAGCACTTCAAGATAAAAAAAAAACTATAAATCTATAACATACATCTTTGTCAAMGACTAAATACTTCAAATTGTTTATGACATTCTTTTTTGAACAAGTTTTCTTTGAGCCTCTCTCTCTCAAATATATTCAAGCAGCATCTCCCCACAGATGTACAAGATGCTAAACTATTGTCTGTTTCAAGTTAATGACCAAGAAACCATTTTCACAGCAGCTTAGACATAAATTACTAAATAAACACAGCTGGCTCTTTAAGATTTACTACATATATAAAACTGATCCTTTGGTAAAATCACTGGTAACACCTGTGTTCAACCACTATGTGATGTCAAAACAGCTCCTGCAGAAAACTGTCTGATTTATTATAAACAACAGATAACAATTTGAAACCAATTAACACTGTTGAATAACAGCAAAACAATACATTCTGTAGGAATTACATTTGTTACAATACACTTTTACATTAATTTACCAGATTGTTTTAAAGTAATATGGTGCATCTGTGAATGTCTACAAATGTAATCACCATTCAAACAATGCAGTTGAAGATGTTACAAACAACAAACTCCTTTTTTAAAAAACTCTGGTATAACYTGTTTCATTATGATTAATAAAGTACTGCAATGCCATTAATATTTTAAACTGAAATATTAATGTCATTAGTATGTAAATTTAAAATAACAATATCATTAATATTTTTTAATTGAAGTGCTTGACATCTAAACCATCAAATCTGCTAACTAAGAAGAGCGATTTCCAGGAACAGCTGAAATTAAAACCGCTTCATGTATAAATCAATAAATCTGATCAATCCGTGAAACCGTCGTCCATAGATGTAACATAATGCAACTGTGGAAAGTGAAGAAATAATTGGACTAGGCAGACATGTAACAACTTCTACACCATGGCAGTAATTAAAATGTGCGTCAGCGAGATAAGGAGGCGTTGATGAGGTGGATTTTAAATGCGCCTGCATCTTCTTGGTWATATAGTTTGCAAGAAATAGGAAAAACCCATCAAAGCAAGATTGTGTGAGAACATTCTAACACCATCGACTCATTATGAATATCTTGTAGAGACAAGATTAATTGATTCTGCTTTTTTTTAACAGCTCTGATTCCAACAGGAAAAACACAGATTTCACAGAAGAGACTGAACTATAAACAAGATTTACTACGAGAATAGAGTCAGCCATTTATTTTCCCTGACATCCAATAAATTGGGACAAATGTTCTTATCTTTGTCAGTGTTTTCAGTTTGAAATATTATAAAACTTTAAATAAGCCCTACAAGTGGCCACAGATTCTAGCACCACTCTTCTCTCAGTCCAACTTCATATCTCATCAGGAGAGTTGCTGAGTTTCAGAGAAGAAATGAGAGCTTGGCAAGGATCATTCAGTTGGTTTAGATGCGTTAAGCAACACATTTATCCCAGTAGCACTGG